CAGATCAACCTTTTTTTAGTTTTCCTGATGGCCTTGTGTGTGAAAGCATTGACTCCACACTTGACTGACCAGTAAAGCATCAGGGGACTTATTCTTACCCAGCTCCCAATCCAGCAGCTGCCTCTCCACTCTCTTATGCAAGTCCATCCCCCTCCCACCACTGATTCACCTGGGTGGGGATAATGGTTATCTGGTGTCTGGCCCTTTAAGGCTACTTGTAGGACCGGAAGTGACATCACAGCGGGGCCTTCCTGGTGCTTCTCTTCCTGGAAACAGTGTCAGAGAGTCCTTGTTCACCTGGGTGAAGGTCAAAGTGGGGCCCAGAGAGAAAGCGGGACTCTGAAGGCCGATTTTGCCTTGCTGCAGGTTGGGGGTGGCCTCCTGTGAGTGCCCTGCACCTCCCCGTTTCCACGCTGTGAGCCGCGGGACTGCGCCAGCACAAGGGGCCTCTCGCGCTTGTATTTCTTATGTTCCCCGATATCCAGTGGTTCCTGAGGTATGATGGATTCTTTTGGGGGGTGCAGAGCTTTGGGAGGTTCATCGGGGGCTGTAGGGGTGATGTCGGTGGGCCCCACGGGTGACTTGTGTGAAGTGGGGAGGAGAAAGACAGTCACTTTCTCCCCACCCGCTTCTGTCTCGCGGGACCCTGGGTAGGCTAGGACCGGTAAAGTCTGCAGTGAGCACCTGCTCTGCACGGGCCTAAGCCCCGCCAGCCCCACAAGGTGGCCGTCAACCACACGTGAAGTCTGCTTGATCTTCTCCGCACGGGAGTTAATCACCGCCACCCGATTGCTCGGGGAGCCACGGACTCAAGTTGGGGCGAGAATTCGCTCTTTGCAGGAAAGGAGAGACCAGTCCCAAGCCTTACCCGAGGTTTCTGGGGTTCTTGTCTCGCTCGCAGAAAAGAATTTCAGGAGTAGACGAGCATTGAAGTAACAGGTTTTATTTGGAGGCTTTTGGAGAGGGAGAGAAAGGGATAAGCAGATAGTAAGAGAGAGAGAGTAACACTGTTGGGATCGGGAGTTCCCTAGCTCTGGGAGGCATGGAGAGACCAGATAGACACAATTCCTGCAGGAGTAAAAACGGGGTTTATTTAGACCAGCATGCTGGGGCTCCACAGCACACCCCAGAGAGAGCAGTGGCTGAGAGCCCCGATCTTCTTCAAAGGGGATCTTATATAGGCCTTCACTGGCCGTTACAGCAAGGCCCACACATGTCATAGCCAATAGATTTGTAACAACATTTAATTTCTTAACCAATCCATTTAAAAGTACCTCACTCCCTAGCCTATAGATTCAAAGATCAGCATTTACGTACATAGATTGTCAGCACAAGCAAGGTTATAGCTGGAATCATTAAGCCTTAGGTAATCTCCCTTGACCATCCACATTTTGAGTAACCCAAGTCTGCAGGGTGCTTTATTGAGACAATACATTCCAGGAAAGGGCAATTTCCCCCAACCACCTCCATCTTGAGTTATCCTTTACCCAAATCTGCAGGGTGCTTTACTGAGACAATACATTTCAGGGACAGGAAATACACCTGAATCCTGTCACACTTGGTTTAGAAAGAAGTTATGCCCTGTTCACTTTCCAAGTCCCCTCTCCCCCAGGTGCAAAGCAGCCAAGCAGTTTTACAGAAAGCAATGTTGCAAGTTGGCTGAAGCACGCAAAAAATTTGATGCCCTAATATGAATTCTTTCAACGCGTCCAGAGGGAACGCGGGCTTCTCCGAGGGTGGAGAGACCCCCAACTGGGCTCTCGAGCTGGCTCTTATAGATCCTTCTGACTCAGAATGTTCTGGAATCTCCTTGGGGCTGGGTCACTGGAGTTAACCGGATTGAGAGGGGGTTCGAGAATCATCTGACTTGGAGTGTCCTGGAATCTCCTTGGGGCTGGGTCGCTGGAGTTAACCGGATTGAAAGGGGGTTTTCAGGAAGGAGGAATTTCATGAGGAGGAGGCCCATATCTTCAGGGTCTGGGGTGGTCTTATCAAGTCTTTATTCTCTGTGTCCACAGGGTAGGTTGGTCCTAGAATTCTTCTACTATGAGACTTTGTTTCATTGCAGAGAGCCTTTCCCTATCTACCTGCCTACATCAAATCCCCCCTAGAGATTTCACCACCTTAAATCTTTAAGGGAAAATGGCAGAAGGTCCATCTTCTGGAGCTGCTTCATGCTGACAATGGGGTGCTGGCTCTGCCTACACAAGGGGTGAAATCTCATACTATCTCAGCTTTTAGTGGCCCTCAGCAGTGAATTGGTTGGGCTTCTGGAGTTATCTGAAAAAGAAGATTGGATCTATTAGACTGAGCGATATCACTTGAGATGATTAGACCCTAGAGTAGAATGCCGCCTCTGATCTAGCAAGGGCAGAATGGTCTGTGGCTTTAGATAACATTCTGTCTGGGATGGTGAGACAGAAATTAAAACAGCAGACCCCGAAGCAGCATAATCCTATACTTATGCCTATGATCATAAGGATGGAAAGTAATAATTTCTCCACCCACGTCCACCCTCCTCCAAACCATGAAGTGATCCGGTCCCAGAAACTTGGAGAGGAGTCCTCAAGAGACTGTACCTGTGCTTTCATTTCATCCAGAAAGTTAGATATGTTAGCATTATAGTCTGGGATATACACACAACACTCAGTTTTTATGACAGCACAAGTTCCTCCCTGAGCAGCAGTGAGTATATCTAGGGCCATCCGGTTTTGGAGAACTGCCCTTCTCATTTGAGACATTTCTGAGTTAATGAGGGAGAGACTATTGTGGGTATCATTTAATGGTTTTTGAACATACTTTGGCAGGGTCTCTATATGTTGAGCAATGTCTTCTATTCCAATTTGTGGGGCAAAGAAAAAACCCAAATGATCATACCAATGGAAAGCTGACCTAGTCCAGCGGTGGACCATATGTAGGTAGTTAGCTGGTTTGTGTGGATGAAATGTCTGCACATATCTGCCTTGCATCCAGGCGAAGCCTAAAGTACATCGGCCACTCCAGCCGGGAGGAAGCCAGGGCCTTAAATTCTGTCCACATAACCAGTGAGACCCATTTGGTGCAAACCATCTAATCCCTGGACTCCTTGTCCAATCTGTTGCAAACCAATCAGTAGGTTGTAGGATTTGAACCTGCTCACACATGAAAGGTTGGAGCCACCCCATATCTAGGGAACGGGTGTAGTATTTAGAAGCCCGTGGCCGATTTTGTTCCCAGCATAATGGGGACTTTTTACTTAGAGCCCCTGTTGAGGGAGTCATCCACGTATGTTGATCCCAGACCTGGTATAGTCCTTCTTTGGTATGTCTAACTCTCTTAGAAGGTGCTACGTGTCTTGATATATTTGATGGCTGTTTGGCATAAGCATTGGCCTCTCTTTGAGTCTGGTTAATGGAGAAGGACATGTTGTGTCCTTGCTCTCTTATGGATATAAAAACACCAGGCCATTCGCTTACATTGGATCTGGTGATAGGGATATCTGAAGAAAGAAACAGTATCTTATATGAGTTAATAAAATCCTGGAGAGAAGCCCAGTCTGTCCCTTGAAATGGGGACACCCACCACGGTAACCCCGAGGTGCTGGATGAAGGCATGAGGCCACATACCCAGCATGCACTCTGATTTCTTTCCTTTGCATACTGGTGGGTCCACTGTAAGAACAGGTCAGTCCCTGCTTCTATTAGCTGCATTTCAATTATGGCTATTAAGAGCAATTTCAAACAAAGGGACATGGTACTTGGTTTTTGATAGGAGCACTCTCTCTCGAAGTGTCCTCTCTAGTTCTTCTTGAAGAGGAGCTTTAGGTCTTCAATAGGCTCACAGGAATAGGTCACTTCTTCCTCTGCCCGGGTTTCATCGCTGTGTGATGTAGATGAAACTGGTTTTATCCTGGAAAGATGAACCCAACTAGAAATTCCGTTAAGTTTTACAGCCATAGGAGTGCGTAGGATAACCTGGTAAGGTCCCTTCCACTTAGGCAGCAGGTGATCTGAAGTGGACCCAGCGTTCCAGGTTTTTAGCAAGACCCAGCTACCGGGCTGAATTTTACTTGGAGGTAATTCTTTATTTGGGTGGGGTAGAACAGCATTCCCATATTCCTGAATCGCCTGTTGTACTCGTCCCAGGTTAACAACATATTTGGTCAGTTCTAGACTTTTTGAGTCCAGTAAGAGATCTGTAGTTAAAAAGGGTCTGCCATAGAGCAGTTCAAAGTGACTGAGTTGAAGTTTTGTTCTTGGAGCCATTCGGTGTCTGAGGAGGGCTATTGGCAAGAGGGACAGCCAGGACTCAGATGTTTCTTTACACAATTTCCCTAAAATCTTCTTGAAGGTGTGGTTGAATTTCTCCACCTTCCCTGATGATTGAGCGTGCCAGGCTGCATGAAGTTTATACTTAATCTTTAGAGCAGAGGCTAGATCCTGGGTGACCTTAGAAACAAAGGACAGTCCATTGTCACTCTGTAATGACCTAGGCAGGCCGAATCTAGGGATTATTTCCTTAAGTAATGCCTTAGATACTTCTCTGGCTGTGGTAGTGCGTGTTAAGAAGGCCTCTGCCCATCCAGTGAAGGTGTAAATGAAGACCAGCAAATACCGGTACCCTGAGCATTTAGGCATCTGTGTGAAGTCAAGCTGCCAATCTTCCCCTGGATAAGTTCCTCGATGCTGAGCAGGTGGTGTCAGAAGTGGAGGCCTGGGATTCCCACCAGGCTCCTTAACAGCACACAAAGCACAATTTTGAGTCACTTCTCTTACTGTCTTATTTAGTCCTTTTCCTTGGAAAATGATTTTCACCAGTGTTGTTAGAGCATCTCTTCCCATGTGGGAAGCTTCATGTAGCCCTTTAATGACTTTCCACTGCATTGGCCCTGGAATCAACAATTTTCCTTGTTTGGTAAATCATCCATCTACTTCCTTTTGGAAACCTCGTTATAGTGCCCATTTTTCCTCTTCTGCTGTATATTCTGGCTTAGAGGGAATGTCTTCAGAATGGGGTATCAGTCACATGATGGAACAAGAATCAAGGGCTGTCTTTCTAGCTACAGTATCTGCATGGCGATTTCCTCTAATAATCTCAGTGTCTCCTTTTTGATGTCCTTTGCAGTGCATAACAGCGATCTCTTTAGGGGCATGCACAGCTTCCAGTAGTCTTAGAATTTCTTCCCCATGTTTTATTGGACAATTTTTAGCAGTTAAAAATCCTCGTTCCTTCCAGATCGCAGCATGTGCGTGCAAGACTAAGAAAGCATATTTAGAGTCAGTGTAGATGTTCACTCTCAGTACCTCAGCCAGCTGGCAGGCTCGGGTGAGAGCAATTAATTCTGCCTTCTGAGCTGATGTTCCCCCTGGTAAGGCCTCAGCTTCCACTACCCTAGTCAGGCTAACAATGGCGTATGCAGCTTTTCGAGTCCCTTCAGGTACTAGGCTGCTTCCATCAGTAAACCAGGTTTCATCTGGATTGTCCAGGGGTGTCTGCTTTAAATCAGTTCTGCTGGAATAGACTTGCTCAATCATCTCTACACATCTATGGTCTAAGGTCTCACAGGTCTCCTCAGGGAGGGGAATAAAGTTTGCCGGGTTCAGGGTTTGACAAGTTCTGTGGGTCACTTCTGGAGAATCTAAGAGTAAGGCCTGGTATTTCGCTAGCCTTCCACCCGTTAGCTATTGATGGCCTTTTATTTCTAGCACGCTCTAGACCTGATGAGGAGTCAGATCTTCTAGCGGTTGTCCAAGAGTGAGCTTAATGGACTCCTCTACCATAAGGGCAGTTGCTGCTACTGCTAGCAGACATCCGGGCCAACCCTGGGCCACGCTATCAAGCTGTTTAGATAAGTAGGCAACAGGTCTAGGAGTCTCTCCCAACTTTTGAAGTAGCAACCCCAGGGCTGTTCCCTGTTTTTCAGCTATGTACAAAGTAAAAGGCTTTTCCAGATCAGGTATTGCTAGGACTGGGGCTGCGACCAGCTGGTCTTTTAGGTTCTGAAATGCTGATTGGCAACTCTTATTCCAGTTTAGAGGCTCAAAATCCGTTCCCTTTAGAGCCTCATAAAGAGGTTTAGCTATGATTCCATAATTGGGGATCCACAGTCTACAGAATCCTGTCATGCCCAAGAAGCCTCTCAACTGTTTCTTAGTTTGTGGTTCCGCAAGCTTTAAAAGGACATCCTTCCGGTCACTAGATAGTGTTCGGCCTTCAGGAGTGAGCACATATCCTAGATACTTAACTTTTTGCTTGACAATCTGCGCCTTAGAGGGGGAGACCTTATATCCTCTTTCCCCCAAGAAGTTTAATACTTGGATTGTATGGCTAATGGAGGCTTCCCTTGTTGGACTGCAAATAAGAATATCATCCACATACTGTATGACAGCTCCATCCTTTAGCTGTAACTCTCTGAGTTCTTTACCCAGTGCATTCCCAAAAATGTGGGGGCTGTCTCTAAAGCCTTGAGGAAGAACAAGCCAGGTATATTGCTGTGTTTCATTAGAATTAGGGTCAGTCCATTCGAAGGCAAAGAGGAACTGAGAATCAGGATGCAGGGGAATGCAAAAGAATGCATCTTTTAGATCCAGTACTGTGAACCAGGCAGAGTTACCAGGGACCTGATTTAGGATGTTATATGGATTGGGCACAATAGGGTGGATTGGAACCACTGCTTCGTTAACAGCTCTGAGGTCCTGTAATAGTCTGTATTCACCATTTGTCTTCTTTACGGAAAGGATTGGAGTATCACAAGGTGACTGGCAAGGCACTATCAGTCCATATTTTAAGAACTTCTCTACCAGCGGCTGTAGCCCTTTTCTGGCTTCAGGTTTAATTGAATATTGACACTTATGTGGGTAACCTGCATTTTCCTTGAGGCTAATCTTTACTGGAGATGCTCTTAAGGCTCTTCCAGGCATTCCTTGATCCCATACCACAGGGTTTACAGCGCTTCTAATCTCAAGGGGAATGCCTGGGAGGTCTGTGTCAGAGTTATCCAATAAAATCGCTATAAAGATCCTTTCCCTCGAGGGGAAGAGCTGAAGGGTGCTTCCTAAAACCTGCATTATGTCTCTTCCTAATAGGGGGGTTGGGCACTCTGGGACAATTAGGAAGGCATGAGTAAAGACAATATCTCCATAGCTGCAGCTCAATGGTTGAGTAAATACCCTTTTCACAGGGACACCTCCTACCCCTATTATTACACAGGAGTTGGCCGAGAGTGGTCCTGGAGATTGGCAAAGGACAGAGTACGTGGCTCCTGTATCGACCAAAAAGTCGATATCCCTACCTGCTACGTCAAAGGTAACCTGAGGCTCAGCTTTTGTTATCACCAAGTTGGAGTCAGGAGCCAGTGATGACCTCGGGCTTCTTCAGTCTTCTTGCACTGGGGCCTCTAGAGCAGGAGCTGGCCGCAGTCCTTTCTGGAGCTGAGGACAATTCCTTTTCCAGTGGCCCTCCTGCTTGCAGTTATGGCACGGCCCGTGCGGTGGTTGTAGATCTGGACATTGCCATTTCTGATGTCCCACTTTTACACAGTTGAGGCACTCCCCTTCAGACGGGCACATCTAGGATCTTCCAGCTGAGGGCCTGCCTCTAGGGTTACTTTGAGGTCTCAGGACTTTATCGATAGCAACTGCTATCAGCTGAGCCTGATCTCGTCATTTGAACCGATCTCTCTGGACTTTCTCGGCCTTCTCTACCTGTTCTCGATTATTATATATGCTGGAAGCGATTTCAAGAAGCTGACTTAGAGTGGGCGGGGGTCCCATGGCTGACTTTTGAAGCTTCCTCCTTATGTCAGGGGCACACTGACTTATAAAGTAAGAGGCTATCAGGACTTTTCCTGCCTCATATTGGGGATCTATGTTCGTATACTTTCTCATTGTTTATATCAGCCTCCCCTGGAATTGGTAGGGATTTTCATTTCTCTCCTGCATAATTGCCTTCACCTTGTTCACAGCCTTAACGACACACTTCTTCATGCCGGATATTAGATAGTTAATCATGTGGTCTCACCTTTTCTTGCCTCCCCTAGTTTGATAATCCCATTCTGGGTCTGTTAAGGGAACTGCTGTTAAACCCACAGGGTAATGAGGGTCATTAGCCCGGAGCTCATCTGCATAGGTCTGTGCAGCTGTTATAATCTGTCCCTTTTCATCTGGGGTGCAAAAATTGTATAGAATTACTTGTATGTCATCCCAGGTGAGCTCATAAGAATAAATCAGGGCCTGAAATTCCTCTGTGAACTTTGAAGGATCTTCCCAAAATCTCCCCAGCTGTTGTTTGCATCGGTGAAGGTCACTCATTGAGAAAGGCACATGAACCTTCACTATGCCTGCTTCTCCGTTAGGCACTTCCCTTAGGGGAAACATTTGGGCCAGCCTATCAGGACTGGGGTCAGGTTTGGGATGATAGCAAGCACTGCTCCAGGTGCACCCTGCTGGACTTGCTTCTGACAGGGAGGGGCATGCCTGAGTTGCATGAGCTGCTTTGGGCTGGCAGCAAGCTCCTTTGCTAGCACACTCCTCTGCACTAGCCCCTTCATCTGAAGGGGGGCTACTCTCCTGAACTGTTCTATGATCACGATGAGCTAACCCGCTAGCACTTTTCTCTAAACCTTTCTTTTCTTGTGTGGATTGCTCCTGGGCTGCCAGACCAGGAAGCCTGGAACTAGACCACATTGGTGGTGATTCCGGTGAGGGAGAGAACTCATTAGAGGCCGCCCCAGCCAGCCCAGCAGGCAGAGGTGGAAATGGAGATAGAGGCACAGTTGAGAATGGAGGTGGGGGCGCCTTTGGGGCAGTTCCTGGGGAGTTCAACATTAGAATATCATCTATAGGGTCTGATTCTGGCTCTCTTACTTCGGAAACATGCGCGTAGCAGATGCGACAGGTTTCCCTTTTCTCTGAATCCTCATATAGTGCCATGAAGGCCTGGATATAAGGAATTTCATCTCACTTCTTTTCCTTTTTGCAGAAACGATCTAACTGTGAAATGGTCTGGTAATGCAAACTGCCATTTACTGGCCATGTTTTCCCATGCTCTAGCTTATATTCAGGCCATGTGATGTTACAGAGGTTGACAAGACGTTCCTTATTTAAACTACCTAAATGGAAGCTCTTCCAATGTCTTAATAAGCAACCCAGAGGGGAATCTTTAGGTATTGAAGTTGAGTTGCCCATGTCTCTGATTACCAGCAACGACCTATGGAACAGAAAAACCTAAGACAGGATGGTTCTCAAGCAGAACTTTTCCCAGGTCTATCCCAAGGGGACTCTAACCCCTCGTGGATAGGCCTCCACTTTGGCTTCTCCCAAGGGGACTCTAACCCCGCGTGGATAGGCCTTCACTCAGAGGCTCATTGGATTTGGACCATGTCCACCAATGGCCTCTGCTTCCACCGCAGGCGTCCCTGGGCGGGCCTGGCATCGGGCAGAACCACAGCTGTGTGCCCGAGCCTAACCTAGTGCTGTGGTCTTAGAACTCTGCTCCTTGAAAAAGTTCTGCCTTTTCTTAGCTTGTTACATCTTCCCTGCTTCTTGCTGGTTCTCTGCTTTTCTCAGGCTTCTTACCTGCCTTTTACCCTTTTTTTTCCTTCTGCCTTACCTCTGGACTGCCTTCATTAGCATTTCAAATGACCTCTAGCTGATTTTCTAGTTAGGCTGGGGAAAAGGATTTTCTAGTTAGACTGGGGAGATTTTCAGTCTGGAAATTGATCTGCTTTAATTTCCCAGAATCTTCACACTATTGGGCTTTCCTCCCATTCCTCCCATAGTGGACGGTGACGCAAGACAGGCAAAGGAGGGGTGCCTCTTTGCAGAGACCATTCAGATGCATGCCTGGCCTTTGGAGAACTTAGCCTTAGTGGTTCAGCATTGTGACTTGCGACCGGCATCTATGCCAGTGCCACCATTGACCGTATGTTCTCCGTGGAATCGCAAGCAGCCCACTCAAGTTCCGTGACTTTAGAGGGACTTTAAGAGTGCCAGGTCGTGGATCTACAAAATCACGCCTGATAGGAGGACCTATCAGGGTGCTCATTCACACACACATTCACACAGAGGTTATCACATTCCTCCCCCTTCCCCCCTAGAGATTTCCAAGGGAGCATACTTCCACAGCAGATTTTCCACAGATTAACTCCTTCCTCGTGGATTTCTTCACTGCATCTGTCCCTTCGTGGTCACCATCTGATGTCGGTGGGCCCCACGGGTGACTTATGTGAAGTGGGGAGGAGAAAGACAGTCACTTTCTCCCCACCCACCTCTGTCTCGCGGGACCCTGGGTAGGCTAGGACCGGTAAAGTCTGCAGTGAGCACCTGCTCTGCACGGGCCTAAGCCCCGCCAGCCCCACAAGGTGGCCGTCAACCACACGTGAAGTCCGCTTGATCTTCTCCGCATGGGAGTTAATCACCGTTCCGATTGCTCGGGGAGCCACGGACTCAAGTTGGGGCGAGAATTCGCTCTTTGCAGGAAAGGAGAGACCAGTCCCAAGCCTTACCCGAGGTTTCTGGGGTTCTTGTCTCGCTCG